GTGGCTGCCAGTCATAATAACATCTTGAAACAAGTCAAAACAACACTGGAAAATCTTTTCCAAATGAAAGATTTAGGGCAACTTACCCATTTTCTTGGGATAGATTTTGTACAAACACAGGATGAGATAAAAATGGACCAGTCTAAGTATATACAGAAAATACTTGAAAGATCAGGAATGTCAGACTGCAAAACCAGGGTTACTCCCTGTGAAACCAAGTGTGATCTCACTGTAGAAGGAGACCCCACAGATCCCAAAGAGTACAGAGCTATGGTGGGCAGTCTCATTTACATCATGACCTGCACCAGGCCAGACATTTGCTGGATTGTGAGCAATCTGTCAAGGTATATGTCTGATCCTAGACAAAAACATGTGACGGCTGTCAAACATGTGTACAGATATTTGAAAGGGACACAACATTACCCGTTACGTTACAAAAGGACTGAGAACACTTTAGAACGGTTTGGATTTTCTGATGCAGACTGGGCAAACGATCCAGGGGACAGAAAGAGTGTTACAGGTTACTGCTTCAGTCTACATGAAGATGGCGCTGTGGTTTCTTGGAAGACTAACCCCGGCTTTCCACGGGAGCCGTCAGCAGCACGTTACTGCAGCAGCACGTCTTGCTCGCGTAAACTGCTGCTTGGCCCTTCCCACGAGACGCGAAGCAGCAGGGGAGCAGCGGTCACCGACCGAGCACGGTAAACACAACAACAAGCTGGAGAAAACTACAACATGGCTCCAAAAGGTTTGTGTTTTATGTTCTGTCCGTTTTATAATCGCCAATACGGACCTGAAAAACAAAGGAGACCGCTAGCTAGGTGATAACTTCTCACGGGGCCGCACAGTTAGTAACCTTTTTTAAAAGTAAAGCAACCGGAAGGCAGTACGTTCTTTATTCTGAAAATCTCGGAAGCTTCTCTCCGTTTCCGCGTCCGATTTCCTGTCTTTCCTTCCCCAAAAATGTCGAACTTGATCCGTCTCACCCCGGCTTTCCACAGGAGCCGTCAGCAGCACGTTACTGCAGCAGCACGTCGTAGCTGCTGATAGGAACCGCTGTGGTCAACAGAACCTTTTCCACTGGAGCCGTCAGCAGCCGTCAGCAGCGCGAGTCGGCCGCATCTCAGGAGCAGCATGTCGCGGCCTTTACACGCCGGTTCTATTTTCTACGCACGACGCCTCTGAAACGGGTCAAGTTCGACATTTTTGGGGAAGGAAAGACAGGAAATCGGACGCGGAAACGGAGAGAAGCTTCCGAGATTTTCAGAATAAAGAACGTACTGCCTTCTGGTTGCTTTACTTTTAAAGAAAGTTACTAACTGTGCGTCCCCGTGAGAAGTTATCACCTAGCTAGCGGTCTCTTTTGTTTTTCAGGTCCGTATTGGTGATTATAAAACGGACAGAACATAAAACACAAACCATGTTGTAGTTTTCTCCTGCTTGTTGTTGTGTTTACTGACGAAGTCACTCGTGTGACTTCGTGCTCTGTCGGTGACGGCTGCTCCCCTGCTGCTTCGCGTCTCGTGGGAAGGGCCAAGCAGCAGCTTACGCGAGCAAGACGTGCTGCTGACGGCTCCTGTGGAAACCCGGGGTCAGAGGCGTCGCGCGTAGAAAATAGAACCGGCGCGTAAAGGCCGCGACATGCTGCTCCTGAGACGCGGCCGACTCGCGCTGCTGACGGCTCCGGTGGAAAAGGTTCTGTTGACCACAGCGGTTCCTATCAGCAGCTATGACGTGCTGCTGCAGTAACGTGCTGCTGACGGCTCCTGTGGAAAGCCGGGGTAAGAAGCAACAGACTGTTGCGCTGTCGACATGCGAGGCAGGATACATGGCTCTAGCTGCAGCAGTTCAAGAAGCCCTGTATCTCAGAAGCCTGCTCACGGACATGGGACTACATGTCAAAAATGGTCCAGTTAAAATCTTCGAGGACAACCAAGGAACAATAAGCTTGGCAAAGAATCCAACAAACCGTCAGAGAAGCAAACACGTGGACATTAAGTACCATTTTGTGAGGGACAATGTGTCACGTGGTAATATGGTCCTTGTTTATTGTTCAACAGAAAACATGATAGCAGATATGTTCACAAAATCTGCTACAAAGGTTAAACTGGAATGTTTCTGCAAGTTTTTGTTTGGAATGTGAGGAAACAAGAAAGCAGACATAAATGTTATTGTGATGTCATCGAGTGGGGGTGTTGTAGTGCGATGTCTATCACTACCAATGTCTATGTGGGTGGAGTTCAAGTCCTTCAATAAAAAGGGAAGTGCGGGTTCCTCCTCCCATGTGTGTGTGCGTGTGTGAGGCTGCAGGTGGCGTCGCGGGGCGCTGTGAGCTTGTTCATGCACTGGGAGAGCTGAGGACATGTGCACGGGTTCTGTAAAATCGTGTCCTTATTTCACGAACTTAGTTTAAGTTAAAACGGCAGCTTCCAGTGTGAGTAGAAGAGGATGTCCACTCCTGCTGAGGCGTCGGGAGCGACCGACCAGAGACGGAAAGATGCACCTGCTGGCACAAGCAGGGGCGGATCAAGGACTGAAGAACATCCGGGGCTTAACACACGCACACACGCGCGCGCGCGCGCACACACACACGCACGCACGCGCGCACACACACACGTGACACGCACTAATCAACATCATGTATGTCTTGTACCACATAATTTTAATCTGAAGCTACATATTAAGCATATTCAGGGCAGAGTATTGTTCCTGTTAGTGTTTAGTGTGAGATGATAGTAAATATTCCCTTTCTTTCTCCAACAACTTTACCTGACAGTAAGCTAACTTTAGGCAAACCAGCAGCACAACAAATATTTTCAAATAAGACTCACAAACCTGAGTCAACACCAGTCTCATCAAAGCTGGGGTTCTGTCGCAGTACTTTTGGTCTAAAAAACGTCCTTATGTCCATCTTCACTCATGTGTTTCAGGCAGAGACTGCAGAAGAAGCCAGCTGCTGAAGGGCTTCTTCTTCAGTGGTGGAGGCTCAGGCAGGCTGTATACAAACTACTGCCAGCTGCTCCCTCTCTGTTGGACTTTGGTACTGCATGTTACTTCGCGATTTAGATCTGGGGCTTTCCATGAAACATCCAGGGCTTCAGCCCAAGTAGCCGGGCCTAACGCCGCCCCTGGGCACGAGTACAACATTCCATATCCATAAATCTAAACTCTGTAATAAAAAACCCTTTTTTCCTGTGCTAAGAACAGAACTGAAACAGTATATATCCACCAGTTCTTGTGTGCAGAACAAAAAAAGCAGCTAGAACTCTGAATATTTGTACGCTGTTTAATGTACTTGTTTAATTACTCTTGTGTTTACTTCATTTCTGTTTATTTATTTTGTTTATTTTCTTTAAAATCCCTTGTGTATGTATAACATCTTTTTTTATTTCATTTTTCATACTTGTATGTCTTTGACTGTTTGATTGATGGAATAATAAAAAAATTAAAAAAAAAACATGAAACTTATATCCGCTTAACGCACTTGGAGTTTTTTTTTTTCAAGTAACGGCTGCTAGTGCATCCTAGTTTGCTCTTCACGGGCACGTGCTTCCTCGTCAGCGTCTCAGCGCGTCTGCCGTCTGAAGGCAAGTGGAAGCTACGCAGCGAGCAGCAGAAAGCGCTAAATTCTATTGGCTGATGCAATAGCTGGCTAGCCACGTGATTGGTTAGTCAGTTGCTACGCGATGGTTGCTACCTGAATTTTACTGGAACTTTCTATTTACTCGGTTTTAGCTTTTCTTATTTGACCATTTTCAACAAGTTTCTTTTTTTAACTATGTATAAATGTTTAGATTTCTATTTATCTTATTTGGTCTTTTATCCTGTTTTAATTGTTTTGTAAATTTCCATTCATGTTTCAATATTCTAATTCAATTCATTCAATTCAAAAATACTTTATTAATCCCAGAGGGAAAATGATTCAATAATTGTGAAACAGGTTACTATTGTAATCTGGGTTTTACACCAGGTTACAATATACTGACTCTGAATTATGGCCGTGGATTGATATTTCATATTTGTATGGAATATCACATCTAATTGATCATAATTAATATGTATTAATTGCTACACCACACAGGAATGCTAAAGTCCAGACATAAATGGTACAGTCCAGACATAAATGGTACAGTCCAGACAAATGGTACGGTCCAGACATAAATGGTACGGTCCAGACAAATGGTACGGTCCAGACATAAATGGTATGGTCCAGACATAAAGGATTCAGTCTAGACCTATATGACATCATCATTCTAGTCAACAGATCAGATTCTACCAGTCTATCAACAAGGCAGGAACTAGTAACTAGCAGAGATGAGCGCAGCAGCTATCGACCTAAATCATATGGATTTAGAAAACATAACCAAAGAGGATTTACAAGAGAGTCGCAAGAATCTACTAAACGAATTAAGGTTTGTAGAAACTGAAAAACAGAATCTCTTCAACGATAAGCAGGATTTTCTTAAAGTTCTGAAAAAATTTAACGATTACAAGGATGAGCTTAAAATCCATTTCCAGAGAGAGAAAAATGATTTCGGTGACGAAAATCAACGTCTAGAAGAAAAGAAACGGAGGCTTGAGCAGGAAAGCAAAGATTTGCACACAGCTAAGACAGAAATTCAAAAAGAATGGAAGCAGATTGAAGAAGTTAAAACATCAAATCAGGAATTTCTAGAAGATTTGATTACGAAAAAATCTGAAACGGAAAAGCTTTGGAAATCGCTGCAAGACAGCAAAGCAAACGCGATTGAAGAAATAAACCAGATGAAAAGAGATCTGGAGAAAGAGAAATTCGATTTTGAAGAATCAAAGAAATTATCAGAAAACAAACTTCAAGAACTGAGACAAGCTTTGCAGGCCGAGAGAGACGAGTTCGAACAGCATAAGTCTAGCTCAGAGCAGGAGACTGAAGATGCTCGACAGATTCTGCAAGAAGAGAAAGAAAATCTACAACTTCTTTGGCGAAATCTGGAGGAAGAGAAGATGGATTTTACAAATATGCTTCAAATAGAAAACCTAACGTTAACTGAAAGTCAAAATCATTTACAGAAAGTTTATCAAGATGTAATTCTCCAGACAAAAGCCCTGCAGGAAGATCAGTTGAACTTTCACAAAGCAAAGGCTGAAACGATTCTCTTTCTTGAACTGATAAAAGCAGAAAGACTTCGTCTAAAAAAGGGTCAGAACGATTTGCAGGAGGGATTAGAAGACCTGATTCTTGATAGGAAAATGTTTCAGAAGGAAATGATTCACTTTGAAACACAGAAGACAGACTCTGAAACGGAGAACGCAGAAATATACAGCCGTCTCCAAGAGGGGTTCGACATTTTACATGTCGAGAAGGAAAGTCTGATGCAACAGACGGCAGAATTTGAGGATAAAGAGAAAGACTCAAATCAGCTTTATCTGGAAATGTATCAGACTCTCCAGGATGAAAGGGAAAATTTAGAGCTGATGAAACAGAGTCTGCAGGAGGAAAAGAATCAGTTTGTTGAACTGATGAAAACAGAACATCTTAGTTTACATGAGAAACAAAAAGATCTGGAGAAGGGACTAGACGACCTGATTCTTGATAGGAAAATGTTTCAGAAGGAAATGATTCACTTTCAGCAGAAAAAGGAAGATTCACTTCATGAAACAAATTCAGACCTTCAGACTCTGAAAGACGACAGAGAACGCTTAGATCTGATGAGGCAGGCTCTGGAACAGGAAACAGAGTTTGAAGAAGCAAATCAAAAAGAAACCTCCAACAAAAATAATACAGAAACAGCTGCGGAGGACGAGGTAGAAAGTCCTTCTGCTCAGACTGAATTTCTGCAGGAACGAATGATGAGTTTTGAACTTCCCCAGACTAAATCTGAAGAGGAGATACGTGAAATGTACAATTATCTCCAACATGGGCTTATATATTTAGACGCTGGACTAGAACGTCTGGAAAATCAGGAGAATATATTTGAGGAGATGGAGAAAGAGTCTGATCAGACTTTACGAGACGTCCTGCGGGGTCTCCAGGAGGAGAGAGATAGTTTAGAAATGATGAAACACAGCCTGGAGGAAGAAAAACTGGAGTTTGAAAAAGTGATTGCAACAGAAAAACTTAGTTTACAAGAGAGACAAAAAGATCTGGAGAAGGGATTAGAAGATCTGATTCTGGATAGGAAAATGTTTCAGAAGGAAATGATTCACTTTGAAACACAGAAGACAGAATCTGAAACGGAGAACGCAGAAATATACAGCCGTCTCCAAGAGAGGTTCAACATTTTACATGTCGAGAAGGAAAGTCTGATGCAACAGACGGCAGAATTTGAGGATAAAGAGAAAGAATCAAATCAGCTTTATCTGGAAGTGTATCAGACTCTCCAGGATGAAAGGGAAAATTTAGAGCTGATGAAACAGAGTCTGCAGGAGGAAAAGAATCAGTTTGTTGAACTGATGAAAACAGAACATCTTAGTTTACATGAGAAACAAAAAGATCTGGAGAAGGGACTAGACGACCTGATTCTTGATAGGAAAATGTTTCAGAAGGAAATGATTCACTTTCAGCAGAAAAAGGAAGATTCACTTCATGAAACAAATTCAGACCTTCAGACTCTGAAAGACGGCAGAGAAGGCTTAGATCTGATGAGGCAGGCTCTGGAACAGGAAACAGAGTTTGAAGAAGCAAATCAAAAAGAAACCTCCAACAAAAATAATACAGAAACAGCTGCGGAGGACGAGGTAGAAAGTCCTTCTGCTCAGACTGAATTTCTGCAGGAACGAATGATGAGTTTTGAACTTCCCCAGACTAAATCTGAAGAGGAGATACGTGAAATGTACAATTATCTCCAACATGGGCTTATATATTTAGACGCTGGACTAGAACGTCTGGAAAATCAGGAGAATATATTTGAGGAGATGGAGAAAGAGTCTGATCAGACTTTACGAGACGTCCTGCGGGGTCTCCAGGAGGAGAGAGATAGTTTAGAAATGATGAAACACAGCCTGGAGGAAGAAAAACTGGAGTTTGAAAAAGTGATTGCAACAGAAAAACTTAGTTTACATGAGAGACAAAAAGATCTGGAGAAGGGACTAGACGACCTGATTCTTGATAGGAAAATGTTTCAGAAGGAAATGATTCACTTTCAGCAGAAAAAGGAAGATTCACTTCATGAAACAAATTCAGACCTTCAGACTCTGAAAGATGTGAGAGAAGGCTTAGAGCTGGTGAGGCAAGCTCTGGAACAGGAAACAGAGTTTGAAGAAGCAAAGACGAGTTTCAAGAATCCGAAGGACCAACAGCATTTAATTTAGACTTCCTTATAATTTAGATTAATAGTCCAATCGTACACTCAGGGGTTAGTGTTAGAGCTAAACTATAGCCGTGTGTCATCATTTTAACTTCATGCACTTTAAGGGGAGCTAGGTTTCAATCTAGGGGTGCTTCAACGCCGCCCAAACTGGGCTAGAAACACGTGCTAATAATTTAGACTTTTACTTATGGGCCATTCCCATCTGTACCGGGTCGGCCCGGGCCGGGTAGCGTAGGTTGTTTACATATCTGGGTGGCCTGGTATTTTTCCGGGCCAAACAAGGCTCATTCTCGGCCCTCTTCTCGAGGGGGTCTGCTTCAGGCCGACCAGGGCCAACACACCCACTGCTGACAGCAAATTCACACCTTCCATTAGAGCCAGCCTCTGATTGGTGGGTAGAATCAGCCCACATGGGCTTAAGACAAGGATGTGTGGAATTAACCGGGCCAGGCTGGGGCTGACTGGGGCTACCCGGCCCGGGCCGACCCGGTACAGATGGGAATGGCCCATTATAATCGGGTTTCGAATTACAGGGGAGCTAAGGGGAGCTCGGCTGTCTTAGAGGCTGATATGCTCCCCCAAAAGCCAGTGCAGCTCGCCCTCTATGACACATGCTCGCCACAAACACACTTTAACCCCCCCCCCCCCCCACACACACACACACACACACACACACACACTTAGACAGGAAGGGGTCTTGTCGAGGCTTGAAAGCTCACTAGAAGCCCCTGTGTGCACTCCCACACATGATACATCAAAACGACCGTCTTGGCCGTGGGAAGTATCGTAAATCATGATTTTGGGCTTCTATAATACATGACCACTATCTTGTGCCCGCGGGCAGGTCCCTTTTTAAAATTTCTTCAGGATACTTCTAGTTTATTTACTTATTTATGGCAACGTAATTAGCACACAACATTGTAAAAATGCCTCTTTAATTGGCCTGCCAAATAATTAATGATGACATCATCAAAAGGGCCGGGGCAAGGGGAATTCCAACAGAAAATGTGTACCAGGTTCCTTTTAACAGTTCTTCAGGGATTTTCTAGTTTAACCTAAAGGTAAGGCGGCGGAGCGGGGTGGGGGCTAGGGTTAGGGTTCAGAAGCTGACGTCAACGAGCTGAGAAACAAAAATCTGACTTTTGTTGCATCCTTCAGTGTTTATGTCACGTCTTTATTGCCGACCCTCTCCGAGGAACACCGATCTAGGATGTAGATGGATATGAGCACTAAAACTAAAAACCAAAATAAACAAAAATAAATAAATAAATAAACATAAACATGTTTGAAAACAAACAAAAAGATAATAAAAAAAACTATTAAAAATAACTAAAATTAAAGACAAAAAAAATAAAAAAATCCCTTCCGCAGAATCGCCACCTTATCGTGGTGGAAGGGTTTGAGGAGCTCCATGATCCTGTAAGCTGTGTTGTCAGGGCCATCAGCCCCTGTCTCCCATGGCAACATGGTCTCAGCTTAGAGCTCGGACTAAGAGCGGTTCAAACACCCCAAGGACCACACCTGTGGGAGTGAAACGGGTCTGAGGGAACCAAAGAGCATTATTTTAATGTTTTGAAATGGTTAATGTCTTGTATTTGTGTAGGGTCTTCTAGGGTTCTCCAACCCCCCCCCCCCCCCCCCCCCCCCCCCAAGGTCATTCAGCCATCTTCATCAGTGGGCTGAAGGTAAACTGCGCTTTCCAAACCAGAACAAATGCTGTTTATGACCTCGCCGTCTGGGGAACCGCCATAACAAAGTTCCTCTCCTGCTCCTTATCTGTGCTGCAGGACTCCTGGAGAAGACGAGACTTTTTAACCTTAATAAAAGATTCATATTCTGTTTCATTCGATGCTTTTCCCACTTTACAGATTAATTACAATCATAGACCAATGAATGTTTTATCTAAAGTAAGTTTAATAAGACTGGATTGCTTGACAGTTATAATGAATCAAAATAACTGTTCATTGTTAAAATGCATTGTTTCAGATCTTAAAGACGCCAAATGAATCTACTCCATGAGTTTATGATGATTTTATGATCAGTTATGTCACATATTCGCGATAAGCAAAGAAGATGGAAGGATGGACTGATGGTGTTGACACAGAAAAACCTCTAAAACATGCAAAGACCGCAGTTATACACCACTCGTATAAAACAATTTTATAACACCATCTTGCCTATTGTAGCCAGAGTTTGGTTGGATTAACGGCAAATGTAAGTACAAGGCTATACACTCCTCTGACTCAGTCCGAATTGCTTAAACGGTTCTGGCAGTTCCCATCTACACAGTCAGCTACAAGACCTCATTTGACAGCCTTTGTCCTTATTCACCAGACTGGGTGACTACATGTGGAGTAGTCTGGAGAGAGGAAAGTGTTACCTGAAACAACAAAAGGGTTTCTCAGGAAGTAGGAAAGCGATGGGGTTGAAATGTACAAAAGGTCAGTGTTAAACTAAGAAGTAAAGTTTAAAGTGTGTTCACTCACCTTTCTTCCTGTTTCCTCACCAGGGTGTTCGGGCAAATCTTTCCCCGGTTGTCCGAGCACCATTTAAAGGTTCCGGTTGAGGCCAGGAGGAGAGGGTGGGTGAAATATTCTAATGGGGTTTCTCTTATGGGTTCTGGAGATAGCTCAGATTGGCCACCTGTTGCAAATACTCCATAAACATCCCAGATTTTTGCACGTCGAGAAATAACCTTTTTGCATCCGCAAAGCTGATGAGAAAAACTTCCTGCAGATCAAAGCTGATTTTGTTCAACTCCTTAAGAGAATCCCTGAGACGCAAGCTGATTCCATCCTGTATTGCCTGTTGACATCTTTTGGACCGGGGAAAGTCGCTACCATGTGGTCAAAATACTGGACCTGGGTGCCCCGAGGTCATCTGACCTCTGGATCCTGACAAGGGTCAACAAAAGGGCAAGTAGAACACAGAGATTGCGTCTGGATGCATTTTGTTGATAATAACTTCATAAGCTTAAAGCACTCCAAATTCATTTCACCAGAACTCAGCTTAATTGATAAGGAAGCTCTGATCCATATCACATCTACACCTTGGTTACTTCAGCATCTTAGCTCCACTCGTTCACCTTAAATGTTTAATTCAGTGGTCATGTTTTAAATGGATTGTAAATTAAATTCTTACTTTTACAAAACTTGACTCTTCCTTGAAGTAACACGAAGCGTGGTTGATCACTGAAAAAGCAAAGAAGCTAGATCTTCTGAATAATTACAATAAAGACCTCGCAGGTTAATATTTTATATTTATATAGAATATAATATCTTAGTGGTCATAACAGATTAAAATCATCTATTTGTAAACGCTACAGATGCTAATTAGGATTTTTATATTTGTATTTTTGTATGTATAGGTAATGGGTGATGAAAATATTTGTATTTAAATAAAGTTGAGAAGAAGTACTTGGTGAGGGTAGCAGAGGAGCTCCCCTGGCGAGCTGGGGTAGTTGGTTTAGCCCTGTTAGCAGCAGGGTATGTAAGGCTGCATGTTTTCATGCTCATGTGGATTGTTGCTGCCTGTACCAAGACAACTAGTGGAAAATAAACCACTCTGCGTGACCCGCCAGTTCCTGCCTCAGTGTCATTGCTCCTGAAATCCAGCCGTTCAAGGCCGTCTATATGACATATACTATATTATATTATATTATACAGACTAGACCAGGAGGCGGGAGCACATTACACTGGTTTTAGAATCATTGCATTGGCTCCCCGTATGTTTCAGGATCAAATTGAAGGTTCTTCTAATGGTTTTTAAATGTCTTAATGGTCTTGGGCCTTCTTATCTCTCAGAACTGCTTTTACCATATGAACCCCACACGGCCTCTGCGTTCCTCTGGCAGGCGTTTCCTGGTCATCCCTGACATCAGGACACACACTCACTGCGAGGCGTCCTTCCAGTGTTACGACCCTCGCCTCTGGAACGAGCTGCTGGAGGACCTCAGGGCCGCAGAGAACGTTCATGTTTTTAAGTCCAGGCTCAAGACCCATCTTTTTAGGTTAGTGTCATGGTCTGCAACTGCCCCTTCCTTTATGTGTCTCCTGATGTGTCTCCATCCTCTCTAGTTTCCCTTCTGTGTCTCATAGCGCCCTCATGTGTCCTTTGTCTGCATCTCTATATTGTGTCTTCTGTTAGTAGGCCTTTTTATCATTCCCTCTGGTCCGGTGTTCATTTAGTTATCCTCTGTCCCTCCAGTTGCAGCTCCAGCCTCTTGTTCCCCAGCCCAGTATATGTGTGTGTGAGTTATTTATGTCCGTCTGTGTGTGTGTGTGTGTGTGTGTGTGTGTGTGTGTGTGTGTGTGTGTGTGTGTGTGTGTGTGTGTGTGTGTGTTAGTCCTTCCCGCAGCCTTTTAGTTTGGATTTGTAGTTTTAGGTTTATCTGTCCTCCTTTGGTTCTGTTTCCCCATTTAGGTAATTATTGTCACCTGCCTTCCCTCCAGCCCTCACTCCACACACCTGCTTCCTGTTCCCTTAATTACTCCTCCCTGTTATTTAAGCCCTGTCTTGTCTTTGTCTTGTGTCGGTC